TTAATTGTGCGAGGAAAAAATAGATTTATATATATTTAATATAGAGAGAGACCTTAATTCTCATGACAATACAGCTTATCACATTATCAATTGAACAATCAGGGTAGATTAAAGGCAGTTTATAATATTAGAATGTATGTTATCATGTTAATACATTTCAGAATAACAATTAGAAAGAATTAGTAAAGATAATTGTAAACTTAAAACATACCTAAAACTTATATACTCAGATTAAAGTTTCAGCTCTGTAATTTACTGACTTTTTAAATTTGGGAAGATGGTTTTCTTTCTCTGAGCGTCAGGATTTTGTTTGCTTGTTTTTGTTTATTTATTTATTTTTCATCTGCAAAATGAAAGTCTTGGGCCAGCGACCTCTAAGTTCTTTTCTGCCCACAGTCCCTAACATCAGAATGTTGTATTGAAAACATTCTACTCGGTCAATATTAGTAAAGCAGAATGAATGTAAATGTTCTGCTCATTCTCCATGCACACTTTGGAAATCATGAGTAATGAATACTAAACTCACATTTTTTATTTATGTATTTCTTGATCTCATTTTGTGGATATTCCCTTTGCAGTAGCCTCTGGGCACATTTACAGGATTTAATAAGAAGAGAGGCGATATCTGCAATCTTAATTGTATAGCAGAATGATAAACTCACAGACGGAAAGCTTGTCTTGTAAATTTAATTTCCTCTAAGCTTGTTAGGAAGAATGTACCAGAGAATATAAGAGCTCTCATCTCAAGTCATTGTATTACATGAACTTTTCAATTTTCATGTCAACTAGTATTAATATATTTCAAAGCACATTGCCTATTTTAGATGATATATGATATATATTTTTCTCTGACTCAAGATACTTCTGTGTGGTTCATATCCACCATAGACCTATTTTAATTATCTCCATTAAATATTTTTTTAATAAGTTGGGCTTAGAAAATGTCTGACTGCCATTAGTATTTGCATTCCAGAGGCCATATTAGGTAATTCAATTTTCCATTACTTAAAGGAATTGCCTTGTTCCATAACTCGGTTTATTGCAGCAGACAAAAACGTGAAGCACCATAACTGCTTTTTAATCTCAGGATAGAGAATTTTATTTTATTTAAAAATTGTTTGGACCATGTACTTCATAGGAAATTTTCTTATTTCAATAATCTCTGGACAAATGTCTGTTTACAATCTAATAGTATGTTATCACAAGAATAAAAACAAAATATTTTTTATTAATAACATAAATGTGTTATATTATTGTAGAAATTCAGAAAAGGAAAATAAAATCATCAAGTTAAGATAATGCCTGCATAAGATCGGATGAAGACAATGGGAAGAAAACTCGAGATTCGATAAGCATTTTCTTGGGGAAAGGTAGTATGCTGCTGTGATATAACTCTGACCAAAATTCAATTTAATGGGTAAATTATTTTCTTTTATGGATTAAGGAAAGTATAATCTGGTCACTCAATGTCAAAAGCTAGTTAGCTGCTGAAGATATTACCTTACAGTTCTATGCCTCTTATTGGGAGGTGAAGTCCATTTCCTTTCACCATGCATCTGGTTTCCATGTTTATTTTATTTTATTTATTTATTTTTATTTTTTTTTAACCAGTGAAAGTGTTGCTTTCCCAGTGTTTAGTCGCTGATTATAAGAACTACCACTATTCCCTGCTCTTGAAATACTTACTCTCGGAAAGCTGAACATCTACTTAACCAGGTTTCCTGCCAGAGAAAACACTTAGAGAGGCCCTGAGACCTAGGGGAAGATGCACCTATCTGATACCAACTTTCTTACTCTTCAAGTTTACAGGCATGTTTGTGGAGCTGTCTCAGAGCCTACAGAGTAGCCTAGTCTTTAGCTACATATCAAGTGACACAGTCAACACCATATGCACAGAAGAATCACTCAGCTGAGCTCTGCCTGAATTCCTGGCTCCCCAAATTATGAGCTACAAAATAGCTGTTTTAAATCACTACATTTTGAGAAGTTTGTTAAGCAAGAATAGATAAGTAGAGCAGAGACAACACTAACAACCATATTCATTCCAAGATAAAATTCTGCTACCTGTGAAAGAACAGAAGTATTATCATTTTTTTCTGACAATAATAATTCAAAAATTGAAAGAAATTGTTCCCATTTATAAAATGAGAACAATGTGGAAATAATGAGTTATAAATTCCACAAAATGCAAAAATACAAAATTAGAGGGGGCTATTTCAGCCTGAGTGTACACTCCTCCGGTGATGGGTGCACTAAAATCTCAGAAATCACCACTAAAGAACTTAGCTTGGTAACCAAAAACCACCTGCTCTCCAAGAACCCATTGAAATAACAAAATACACAAAATAATAATAATAATAAAGAAAATATATTTTTCTTAAAAAGTACTATTAAGCATACATAGAGCCAGAAAATGAAAATGCATGTATTCTATGTACTTTGTGAGTGATGAGATAAACTATAGACATTCAAGTACAAGTTAAATAATTTTGAAGCAACATAAAGGTAAACGACTGTACTATTCTAAGAGAACACAGATTTTAGATACATATTACTCTATAGATTTCTGTCACAGAATACAGAATATTAGATCATCTTTATTTACTGGGAAAGACTAGAAATTAAGATACATAACTAACACTTTGCCTTAAAGATCAGCTAGCTCACAGTCTGTCTCTAGGCTCCTTCCACTCATATCTAGTGCACACAGTTTCTAAATAAATCTCCCCAAAGGTCAGATCTGATCATATCACAGTTCTGCAAAAACCTATGATTCTTCATCGGCCATAGAAAAAGAACAAGATGTATTGTTGTCCTATGGTATTTTTGTACACATAATTTTGCTCTTTTATCTGTTCTAAAACAAATGTATCTACATTCTAAATGAAATTCTTTTCTTTTTTCTCTTCTTCATTGACATATAAACACACATACACATATGTACAATATGCAATATTGTTAGGGTACGGACATAATATCTACAGCCATTATTCCCATCCAAAACATTGTTTTTAATTAAAATGGGAAACACCCAGCATTGCCTGGTTTTTAGGAATAATTGAATCCTGCTTAGATAGTCATTGTGACGACCTCGCACCTTGGCAGCAGAGGGGATGTCTTTACTAGATCCTGGTTCTACATAATGGAAGGAACTAGCTTCTCCGTGTATTTCATGGCCCCAGTTTTGGGAGATTCTTGACTATGATGTTGCCTGGCTAAATCCGAAGCAATATGTGGGAAGTATTGCGTAACTCCTCTGGGATTTGAAGATCTTTTATAGCCCATTTCTTGATGGTACAAGTTTGGTTGTCTGATAATTTTTCTGGAAGTTAAAATGTCACAATCAAAAACTTTTTAAGCTGAGATTCATGGTTTCCTTGGCAATGCTGTTTCCAATAAATGTCAGAAGTATATTAAACTGTTTTCTTTCTGTCTGTTCCATGTGTCTTGATATTGTTTTTAACTCTGCTTTATTTCTTCACTTTCTTGGCTTCCTAGTTCACTTTCTCAATTTAATACTGTCTGCCTTGAACGTATCTGAAACAATAGGCTCATATAGGAAGACGATATCCTTATTTGAATTATTGAGGCAAAATATAGAAGCTTTAGGAAGAGAGAATGAAATAAGGGAGGAGAGACACTAATTAAATAAATAATTAAAATATACATTTATGTTGAAATTATAAGGTCAATAAATATTTGTTAAATGACAGGTTGATTGAATGCTCCTGAAAAATGGGAAAGCATTAGAAAAGCCCAGTTAGACTTCTTAAATGAGTGAACTTCAACTCAAGAATCCATTATGTAGTCTAGAAATTTATCACCTATCGGTGATATCGGGGTGAAAGATATTTAAGAATATGCAAGAAATCCAAAGAGTGTATCTTCAGTTCAAACTATCTTAGGAAAACATTTTAAAAATACATTTAACAAATCCATAATAAAGCTAAATTCAGAAAAAGATAACTCGGGAAAAAAATAGTAAAGAAAGCAATTTCCAACAATAAATAAATCTTCATTTACTATTTGCTATGGAATGAATGTTTAAATTTTTCCAAAATTCATATGCTGACAACTAATCCCTAGTGTAATATTATTAAAAGGTGGGATCTCTGGAAGGTGCTTAGATCATGAGTAAGGAGCCCTCATGAATGAAATCAATGTCTTTGCAAACAGCCCTGAAGGAGTTAGTCTCTTTCACTCTGTGAGAACAAAGCGAGAAGGTGCCATCTGTGGCCCAGGAAACAAGTGTTCACCAGATACTCAATCTGCATGTCCCTTGATCTTGAATTTCCCACCTTTCAGAACTGTAAGACATACATTTCTGTTGTTTATCAGTCACACAGTTTATGATATTTCACTACAGCTACCCAAATAGACTAAGACACTGTTGTATTACTTTTATGTTGTTGCATTACAATTTACCACAAATTTAACATCTTTAACAACATAAATTTACTCTCTCACAATTTCAGAGAGTCAGGAGTCTGGGCACAGCTTGACTGGGTCCTCTGATCCAGATATCATGAGGCTGAATCTCATCTATAATTTTATTTCTTCCTCCTCCTCCTCCTTTATTTATTTATTTATTTATTTATTTATTTATTTATTTTGAGACGGAATCTTTCTCTGCCACACAGGCTAGAGTGCTGTAGCGTGATCTCGGCTCACTACAGCCTCCGCCTCCCGGATTCAAGCAATTATCCTGCCTCAGCCTCCTGAGTAGCTGGAATTACATGTGCATGCTACCACATCCAAATTATTTTTGTACTTTTAGTAGAGATGGGGTTTCACCATGTTGGCCAGTCTGGTCTTGAACTCCTGACCTCGTGTTCCACCTGCCTCGGCCTCCCAAAGTGCTGGGATCACAGGCCTGAGCTAAGGCGGCGGTGGCGGCGGCAGCTGCTGCTGCCTCTGCATTTGCCTCTTCCACTGCCGCTGCCTCTGCCTCTTCTTGCTGTTCTCTTTCACCTTCTCCTTCATCTTTCTCCTCCTTCTCCTTCTCCTCCTCCTCCTCTTCCTTCTTCTTTTTCCTCTTCCTCCTCTTCTTCTTCCTCATCTTCTCTTCTTCTACGTTGAATTGCTGTAGTACTATTTCCTGAAACACATATCCTTCCTTCACTGAAGGTGGGAAAGCATGTCCATGTGCCCATTTTGCCCCACTTTTACTAGCAGAGGAAGGCATTTGGGAGAGTAAAGAAGTTATAGTTGGACCAGGGATAAAAGTTCCGGCTCTCTATTAAGCTTTTCTTCACACCACCCCAGTTGAAGCGTGAGAGTGCTTCATTGTAGTCTGCTAAGGGTGGAAATCTAGGCTCTCCACTTCATCTTTGGTATTGTAGGTCTGGATGGAGCCGGATATTTCCCTGTGCAGTTTAATTGTACGAGAATTATTTTATAAACATTTTCTGACTTTCTAGCATCCCCTTTCCTATCCTTTGATTAAAGATCAAATTTTTTTTTTTCTCTTAACCCATTGGTACAGATAAATCTAGAAAATATAAAAGTTGCATGGGACAATATATCAAAACCAAAATCAATAAGCATAACATATATCAAAAAGATTGGTCACACAAATTATAGACAAAGGAATACTGTCAATGTCATATGAGACTACTTATATATTGTTAGAAAAAAAATGGTCAAGTTGAAAAATATGCTGTAAGAACATGAATAAATATACAGAAAACATCAAATTCAAAAGTCAAATGAACATATGAAAAAAATATCAAATTTTGTTATGAAATTAAAAATTAAATTTAATATATTGTTCGAATAGCAAATCTTAAATTTTTGAAAGCTATATCATTTATTGCTTACAAGAAACATAAAATCTATTAAAGTTCTATATATGTATATATGTTCAATCAGCAATCATCCTAATTAATGTTGTTAGTGACATCCATTTTTATAGAATAAAAAGACAATAAACTCTGTATAGAGTTACACATATGTCTGTGCAACAGAAAGCATGTGTATGTATGTGGTTCATATATACTTAATCCTCATTTTTTTGAAGCGTCCATATCTGCAGATTCGTGTCCATAAAATTTATTTTTAACCCCAAAATTGATACTCAAGGCACTTTCATAATCCTTCACATACATGAACAGAGTGGTTAAATTTTTGACTTGTCTGATACACTTGAAGTTGAACTAAACAATAATCTGCTTTCTTGTTTTAGCTCTCATAATGTAAACAAGTATCCTTATCATGGTTTATTTAGTGCCACATGTGCTTTTTTGGTGATTTTGCTGTTTCAAATGGCACCCTTCAAGAGTGCCAAAATGTGAGATGGTTGTGATGTGCCTTATGAGGTGTGTTAGATAAGATTTTCCCAGGCATGAGGTATAGTGCTATTGGATATGAATTCAATGTTAATGAAACAATAATATATGTTAAATAAGATGTCTTTAAACAAACACATAAAACAAAGTTCTGTATTGAGTGGTTGATAAAAATGTTGTTAACAGATGCTTGCAGGAACCTAACCCTGTATTTCAGCTAAGAGCAATGATTTAGTATTCACTATTTCAGTGTTTATGGTGTCTTTATAAAAACATGGCTATCACATATAACAAGAATCTATTGTATATGTGTCTGGGTGTGTGTGTGTGTATATATATATACACACACATCTATGTGTACATGTATACACATGCTTATAGATAAATATGTGTGTATATGTATATCATGAATTCCTATTTGCATAGGATAATCTGAGCACTGAAAAATGTAGGATACAAAGTTGGTTATTAGGATACATACAATATTGTTAAAATAGGTTACCTTAGGGGGAGGAGGAGTCTAATTTTGGTATGGTAGAAATTGAATAGCTGAACAAAGAAAAAAAAAGACGATAGTTTTAAAGCCCTGCATGACATTCGTATGTCAATATGAATGCATACAAAAAGTTAAAACAAATTCAATTTTAAGATTTTTCAAAAGTAAAAATCAGTTATCTCAATTCCCATGTTCTCCTAAATAATATTATTTATATATTTTCTATTTGATCATCTATATTACTGCATACCATGTCTTATTTTTTGTCTAATAAGATGGAAGAATACATTAAGTTGAAGTATAGATAGATAATAAATAGATGGATGCAGACTGATAGACAATAATAGCAATAAACTAGGAAATGATTGAAATCGATAAACATATAGAAGTTGATATGGTTTGGCTGTGTCCCCACCCAAATCTCATCTTGAATTGTAGTTCCCGTAATACTACATATTGTGAAAGGACAAGATGGGAGGTAATTGAACAATGCGGGCAGTTACCCCCATGCTCTTCTCATGATAGTGGGTTAGTTCTTATGAGATCTGGTGGTTTTATAAGGGATTTTTCCCCCCTTTGTGTGACACTTCTCCTTCTTGCTGCCCTGTGAAGAAGGTGCCTTTTTTCCCCTTCACCTTCTGTCATTACTGTAAGTTTATTAAGGCCTTCTCAGCCATATATAACTGTGAGTCAAGTAAATCTCTTACCTTTATAAATTACCCAGTCTTGGGCAGTTCTTTACAGCAGCATGAGAATGAACTCAAACAGAAGTGCATGTCAAATTGAACATTCTAGACAAAATATTATCTCTATGTAGATGCCTATATCTATAAATATTGAAATAAAACCATTAGAGATAAAGACATATGTGCATATGCACATACATTATGTATTTCAAGGCAAACTGATACATCTCATGTTAATGTCTTTTTTATTAAGTAGCTGGATTACCATAGTTGTATCATTTAATTCAATTATGTTCAGTTTATTTAACTGTATAGTTAGGGAATTTACCTAGTTAACTTTTTCATGAGCTTGAAATTATAACTTTTGTATAGGATGCCATTTAAAAGATAATTAGCTAAACCTAAAGAAATTTTAATCATCATTGTAATCAAATATCCTCGCTAATAAATTTTAGTTCTTATTGGCGTTTAACAAAGCATCTCAGCTAAGCTGTCTGTGAACACTCTCCACTTTCATATTCATTTTTTTAAAACAGAAATTATTTGTTATGTCCATGTATCAATGTAGGAAAAGGTAAACTCTGGATTGTTTTCATTGTCTCTATTCCAAAACATTTAATAGACACAAGAAACAAAAAATCAAACAAATTGATACACCCAGTGGAACAAAATTCCAGTGACTGTTTTACTAAATAACCATACCCATTGCTGCAGCTTTTTTTTTTTTTTTTTTTTTTTTTTTTCAGGATTTTTTTACTTAACAAGAGTTAAAATTCTTGGAAGAGATGGAGTTGAGGCATAGCAACAGTAACCTGGTGCTATAACTTCTTTTGTGGACTTTCCAGTCCAAACATCTTTTTCCAAAGTTCCTGAAGCTGTGCTGGTGCTTTCATTAGACTTAAATCCCTTTTCATTTTCATGAAACCTCATTTGTACTCAAGATGATTTTAGTGGATTTTGGTGACTTGTACTAAAGTCTTACGACTAACACAAAGATTAACAAACATCTTGTACTTTTCTTTTACAAAGTTTATCTTTCTAGAGTCTGTAGCTCTTCTATTATAAATTGTTTACATAATATAAACTCTTCGGGTTAAAATTTTTAATTTCTAAAAAAAATTTAATGTTTTATTCCTTGAAATCTTGTTGCAGATATATTATATGGATTTATGTAGAACAGAAGTTACATTCTTCTGTGATCAGTATTCAGTACCAGCAAAGAGAAATACTTATGTAATTCATATTGCTATAAAATTATGTATAATTTATAATACAGTATACAATCTAATGTAACATTTATTACATAACATATATTTTTCCATAATTTATTATATAGTACGTAATTCATACAAAAAACAGTCACATATTGCTCACTCATTTTGTTTAAACTGCGGTAAAATCATAATGCTACTACACTTAGATTTTAATAAGACATTACTCAGAACTTTCTGGGGGCGTGGCAAAGATGGCAGACTAGAAGCAGCAGGAATTGGAGGCTCCCACTGGGGGAAAAAAAAAAAAACATAATAAGCATGTGAATCCTTCACCGCCAACCAAGGTATCCACGTTCTCTCATCAAAATTGACTCACAGAGAGAAGGAAGATCAGTGTGGTGCAGCAGCCCACCTGAGAGCCACATGGGGAAGGGGCACCCTCTCAACCCTCCCAAGGGAGGCAGTGAGGGAGCAGGCTACCCAACTGGGAATATTGCTCTTTTTCCACAGAACTGTGCAACTCAAGGATCAGAATATCCCACTTGTGAACCCATGCCACCGGAGCCTAACGTCCCAAACCTGGAAGGTGTAGATTCTTATAGCATCTCAGCTGGAATCTGTTGAAGAATATCAAGCTCTCCCGGGGAGGGCGACCAGCACTGGCTGTGGCTGCCTGCTGTCTAAGCCCTTCAAGCTGCTTGGGGGAGAGGCAGCAGCCAGCACCGGGACTGGTAACTGCCTAACATGCTAAGCTCCCTCTGTGGAAAGAGGAGAAGCATCCATTCTGTGGAAGAAAGGCAGCACCCATTTCTATAGCTCCAGGCTGCTCTTTTCCCCTGCTGGAGCCAGGGAGGCTGGACAGCTTGGTCCCAAGACTTGTCCCCACAGCCCAACACACAAGCTGTGGCAGTCTGTGGCCAGAGGGCCTCTTCAGGCGTAACCCTGACTCATCCTTCCTCAGTGGTCTGGCCTTCCCTGCAGGATCTCCAAACACTCCAGCCAGAGGCTTAGGGATAGAATTCAGATCTCCCTGGGCCTGAGCCTCTAATGGGAGGGGTGTCCACAGTCTCTGTGGATCAGCTGACTTAGCCTCTCCTCCTTGAATCCAGGCAGCCCAGACAAGTGGGTCTCCCCCTTGTAAAACACACCCTCTCCACCAAGGACAAAGTGCTTCATTAAACGAGTCCCGATCCTCATGCCACCCAACTGGGTGAGACCCTCCAACGGGGATTGTTAGACACCCTGTACAAGAGAGATCCTACTGGCATCAGGTTCGTGCCCCTTGAGGTCAAAGGTCCCAGAAGAAGGAGCAGGCACCCATATTTGCTGCTCTCCAGCCTCCTTGAGTGATATCTCCAGGCACAGGAGTGAATTGGATGAATAAGGCCTGAAGTTAACCCCTAGCAAACAGCAACAGCCCTACAGAAGAGAGAGCTGACTATTGAAAGAAGAAAAAAAAGAAAAAAGAAAAAAAGAAAAACAAACAGAAAGTAAAAACAACAGCATCAGCAACAACAATGAAAAAAAGACCCCCACAAAAACCCCATCCAAGGGTCAGCAGCCTCAAAGACAGAAACTAGACAAACTCTTGAAGATGAGGAAGAATCAACAACAACAATAAAAAAATGCTAAAAATCCAAAAGGCCAGAGTGCCTTTTCTCCTCTAAATGATCACAATGTCTTTCCATCAAGGGCACAAAACTGGACGGAGAATGAGATGGTTGAATTGACAGAATTAGGCTTCAGAAGATGGGAAATAAAAAAACTATGATGAGCTAAAGAAGCATTTTCTAACCCAATGCAAACAAGTTAAAAACCTTGATAAAAACTTAGAGAAATTACTAACTAGAATAATCAGTTTAGAGAGGAACATAAACAACCTGATGGAACTGAAAAACATAGCACAAGAACTTCATGAAGCATACATAAGTATCAACAACTGAATTGACCAAGTGGAAGAAAGAATATCAGAGTTTGAAGACCACCTTGCTGAAAGAAGACATGCAGATAAGAATAGAGGAAAAAGAATGAAAAGGAATGAACAAAGCCTCCAAGAAATATGGTACTTCATAAAAAGACTGAACCTACGATTGATTGGAGTACCTAATGGAGACGGGGAGAGTGGAAACAAGCTGGAAAACACACCTCAGGATAATATCCAGGAGAACTTCTCCAACCTACAAAAACAAGCCAATATGCAAATTCAGGAAATACAGAGAATACTATTAGGATACTCCATGAGAAGATCAACCCCAAGACACATAATCGTCGGATTCTCTAGGGTCAAAATGTAGGAAATCCTGTTAAGGGCAGCCAGAGAGAAAGGCCAGGTCACCTACAAAGGGAAGTCCATCATACTAACAGCAGACCTTTCAGTAGAAACTCTATAAATCAGAAGAGATTGTGGGTCAATATTCAACATTCTTAAAGAAAATAATTTTCAACCTAGAATTTCATATCCAGCCAAACTAAGCTTTATCAGTGAAGATGAAATAAAATCCTTTCTAGACAAGCAATGCTGAGGAATTTTGTTACCACCAGGCCTGCCCTGCAAGAGCTCCTGAAAGATGCACTAAGTATGGAAAGGTAAAACCAGTACCAACCACTGCAAAAACACACCAAAATATAAAGACCAATGACACTACAAAGAAACTGCATCAACTAATGTGCAAAATAACCAAATAGCAGCATGATGACAGGACCAAATTCACACATAACAATACTAACCTTAAATATAAATGGGTAAATGTCCCAATTAAAAGACAAAGTCTGGCAAATTGGATAAGGAGTAAAGACCTACTTGTGTGCTGTATTCAGGAGACCCCTCCTACATGCAAAAACACACACAGGCTCAAAATAAAGGGGTGGAGGAAAATGTAACAAGCAAATGGAAAGCCAAAAAAAAAAACAAAAAACAAACAAACAAAAAAGCTGGGATTGCAATCCTAGGCTCTCAGAAAACAGACTTTTAACCAACAAAGATCAAAAAAGACAAAGAATGGTAAAGGGAACAATACCTTTACCATTAAAGGAGAATGCAGCATTAAAAGAGAAATTTATAGCACTGAATGCTCCCATCAGAAAGCTTACATAATGGTAAAGGGAACAATTCAATAAGAAGAGCTAACTATTCTAAATATATATGCACCCAATATGAGAGCACCCAGATTCATAAAACTAGTTGTTAGAGACCTACAAAGAGATTTAGACTCCCACACAATAATAGTGGGAGAATTTAACACACCACTGTCAATATTAGACAGATCAATGAGACAGAAAATTAACAAGGATATTCAGGACTTGAACTCAGCTCTGGATCAAGTGGACCTAGTAGATGTCTACAGAACTCTCTACCCCAAATCAACAGAACATACATTCTTCCCAGTGCCACATGGCACTTATCCTAAAATCAACCACATAATTGGAAGTAAAACACTCCTCAGTAATTGCAAAAGAATGGAAATTATAGCAAACTGTCTCTCAACCACAGTGCAATCAAATTAGAACTCAGGATTAATAAACTCACTCAAAACCATACAATTTCATGGAAATTGAGCAATCTGCTCCTGAGTGACTCCTCAGGAGGGTAAATAATAAAATTAAGGCAGAAATCAAGAAGTTCTTTGAAACCAATAAAAACAAAGAGACAATGTACCAGAATCTCTGGGACACAGCTAAAGCAGCATTAAAAGAGAAATTTATAGCACTACATGCTCCCATCAGAAAGCTAGAAAGAACTCAAATTGGCACCCTAACATCACAATTAAAAGAGTGAGGGAGGCAAGAGCAAACTAATCCAAAAGCTAGTAGAAGACAAGAAATAACTAAGATCAGAGCAGAATTGAAGAAGATGGAGACACAAAAAGCCCTCCAAAAAATCAAGGAACCCAGGAACTGTTTTTTGAAAAAATAATAATAATAACAAAATAGATAGACTTCTACCTAGACTAATAAAGAAGAAGAGAGAGAAGAATAAAATAGACACAATAAATAGTGATAAAGAGGATATAATCACTGACTCTACAGAAATACAAACTACCAAGAGAGAATACTATAAACACTTCTATGCAAATAAACTAGAAAATCTAGAAGAAATGGATAAATTTCTGAACACTTAAACCCTACCAAGACTAAACAAGAAAGAATTTGGGTCCCTGAATAGACCAATAACAACTTCTGAAATTGAGGCAGTAATTAATAGCCTATCAAACAAAAAAAGCCCAGGAGCAGACAGCTTTACAGCTGAATTCTACAAGAAATACAAAGAAGAGCTGGTACCATTCCTTCCGAAATCATTCCAAACAATTAAAAATGAGGGAATCCTCCCTACCTCATTTTATGAAGCCAGCATCATCCTGATACCAAAATGTGGGAGAGACACGACAAAAAAAGAATAATTCAGGCCAAAATATCTGATGAACATCAATGCAAAAATCCTCAGTAAAATTACTGGCAAACCAAATCTGGCAGCACATCAAAAAACTTATCCACCATGATTAAGTTGGCTTCATCAAGTTGGCCTCATCCCTGGGATGCAAGGCTGATTCAACATACACAAATCAATCATCTTAATCCATCACATAAATGGAACCAAAACAAAAACCACATGATTATCTCAATAGATTCAGAAAACCCCAATATCTTGCCCCAAAATTTCTTGAACTGATAAGCAACTTCAGCAAAGTCTCAGGATACAAAATCAATGTGCAAAAATCACAAGCACTCCTTTGCACCAACAATAGGAAAGCAGAAAGCCAAATCATGAATGAACTCCCATTCACAATTGCTACAAAGAGAATAAAATACCTAGGAATACATCTAACACGAGATGTAAAGGACATCTTCAAGGAAAACTACAACCCACTCACTGCTCAAGGAAAGAAGAGAGGACACAAACAAATGGGAAAACATTCTATCTTCATGAATTGGAAGAATCAATATCGTGAAAATGGCCATACTGCCCAAAGTAATTTAAAAATTCAACGCTATTCCCATCAAACTACCATTAACATTCTTCACAAAATTAGAAAAAAAAAAAAAAAAATTTCAGATGGAATCAAAGAAGACCCCTTGAGGCCAAGACAATCCTAAGCAAAAACAACAAAGCTGGATGTATCTTGCTACCTGACTTCAAACTATACTACAAGCCTACAGTAACCAAAACAGCATGGTACTGGTACCAAAACAGACACATAGACCGATGGAGCAGAACAGAGACCATAGAAATACCACCACACATCTACAACCATCTGATCTTCGACAAACCTGACAAAAACAAGCAATGGGGA